TGAGATTTGAACAGCCGAACTGCTGATCTAGCAGTCAGCTGAAGTAGCCTGCAGTGCTGCATTTAACCACTGCGCCACCTCGAATTAGAGGGGGGCGGGCAGAGAGGATGATTTGCAAACCTCTGATCAAAGATTTGCAACTTCTCTGTATAACTTTCTTTTCCCTTTTTCTTTCCTTTCTGCTAATTTTATGACTGTTGATTTTGCAGATGCATGCATTTGTACTTTTAAAAAATTAGTTTGCATTGTATTTATACAATAGGGTACTTTTTATAAATCCCTACAACATGGACAAGCCCTGCATCAACAGCTATTTCATCTTATTCTGGATCAGAGCTCATATTATTTAAAAAAAATACTGCTGAAGCTAAAAACTGGGATCTCCCATGTAGAGAGAGGTTAAAAGATACATTTCTCATATTATTATTTTAGCTTATAATAATTATGTTTTAATACTGTTTTTACGAATATTAGTCAGCAAGCATTGTCAAAGGTTAGAGTGAAAGAGAAAATGCCTAAACACATAAATTGCCACCTGAGACATCTCTAATCTCTAGAAAGCTGTGGTTATTACATATGTCTGGGCCTGATTTTGATCATGTGACAACAGTGGTGCTGTAACAGCCCTAATTTCGAGCCTGTGTCAGAAGTCCCTTCACTCGGCCCTGTTGTAATTTCTTGCGGTTGCTGAATCAATGATCCTAAGTCGAGAACTCCCTGTATTCCTCTGTCTGTTACTTACATCCATACAGATGTGTGCTCCTGTGTTTCTCCCAGCAGTTCTTACCATCCCCCCCTTTTTTTACTATGCCAAAAAGTATTTTGGAAAATGCATGCATTCTCTTAATGGCCTCTGTGACTAGAGCCACTCTCCCATTGCCAGTAGATTCCACAACACCCCCAGATTCCCTTTGGTGCCTGGAGGCCCCATGCTGCTGCTTTTTGCCTTCTTCACGATAGGTTCTTTGGTGTGTGTGGCAAAGTTTTGCCACATGTGCTGTGTTAACAATGATGGCGTGCTGCAGCATTTTCATTCTCTCTGAGGGAGAGGTATGTAATATTAAATTCTACTTATGGTCTTCATTTATTATTTGTTTAGTATAGAGGTGTCCAACTCAAGGCCCACAGGCCGGATCTGGCCTGCAATATGGCTAGATCTGGCCCGCAGGGCTGCCCTGGAAACAGCAAGAAGCTGCCCCCTGCTGCCCTGGTCCAGCTCAGCCAGGTGCTTCCCTAGGATGCGCACACAGGAGGCAGAGAGCATGCGCAGGGGGGCTGGTGGTATCTGGCAGAAGCTGCAGCTCATTGGCCCCACTCTGCCTCATCCTACCCAGCCTCGCTTGCCCCACAGCAGCAGGCCCGAGGAAGAGGGAAGCAGGGCTGTGGAGTACTGGTGCCCCTGGAGCTCGAGAGCCAGCCACGCTACCTGGCCACGCCCACCTCAAACGGCAACTGGCCCTTTGAGGACAACCATAATGCTGATGTGGCCCGCAGTGAAATTGAGTTTGACACCCCTGGTTTAGCACATGACATCTACAGAAGTCACGGTCTTCTTGATCCAATTCCAGAGCACAGTATACAGGTAGTCCTCATTTAACCATCATTCAGTGACTGTTCAGAGTTAACAGCCGCACTGAGTGAATGGTACTTACACCCATTCCTTGAAGTTACAGCTGTTCCAACGCCCCCACAATGCTCCCACACTCACATGATCAAAATTCAGGTGCTTGGCAGTCCACCCACATTTATGACTAGAGGGGTGCCTCAACTTCCCCCACAACTCCATCCCCCTATCCTTTTGGCTACTCTGCACTCTACCACCATTGCAGCCCCAGTTTAACTTCGCCAACTTCTTCCCATTACTGAGAAAGCGTGCCAACCTAGCTCTATGGCAGCCACTGGCAATGTGAAGCTTCAGAATATAGATAACAGAGTTGGAAGGGACCCTGGAGGTCTTCTAGTCTTGCTCAAGCAGGAGATTCTGTACCATTTTAGAGAAATGACTGTCCAGGGTCCTCTTGAAAGCCTCCAATATTGGAGTACCCACTTCTGGAAGGAAGCTGTTTCACTGAGTAATTGTTCCAACTGTCAGCAAATTTATCCTTGGTTCTAAGTTGCTTCTCTTTTTGTTCAGGTTCCATCCATTGCTTCTTCTCTTGCCTTCAGGTGCTTTGGAAAATAGTTTTCACCTCCCCCCTTCTTCCCGAGCCTTCCATGGCAGCCTTGAAATTGTGTGAGGCCTTTGTCATTCTTGGAAAGGCCATGCATCACACCTCATCAGCACTGGGAGGAAGAAGACGTAGGCCATTTGGGGATGGCAGGGTGATGGAGTGCAGGGTGGGTTATGCACTCTCCTGTCCCCAACACCAGCCACTCCTGGCAGAGTTGCACTTGTTGCCTAGCTGCCACTTACCTGCCTGCTGCCTTCCTGGACTCTCAGCTTCTGCTGGCTTTCCCAATAATTTGGCTTGTTGTAAGCAGGAACTCATGAGGTTGCTTAAGAGACCTGAGTCCTTTCTTAACAACATCAATAGGGAGTGCCGTCACTAAGTACCATGTTTCCCCCCCAAAACGGACCGGTCTTTTGGGCCTCAAAATAGGCATCAGGTCTTATTTTCAGGGGATGTCTTAACCTGCTTACCTTAGGACCATCATAACCAGCCCCCCCCCCCTTGACACCTGTCATGCCGCTGCCTGACTTCTGTGGCTGCTTGAGGCTGCTTACCGGTGCTGCCACTTGTGGCAGGAGGCTGTGTGGCATATTGTGCCCTTCTATGCGTGAGCAGCAGCACCTGCGTGATGTGTCCTGCAGTGAGCAGTGCCATGAGCCATGTGCGCCATTGGCAATGCGCCACACAGCGTCATGCCGTGAGCGGTAGTACCGCTCCACGTGGCGTCTGGTTGAAAGCGGCTGCAGAAGAAGTCAGGCCGCAGCACAACAGGTGTCGGAGCTGGGAGGCCTGGCTGCAGTGGTCCTAAGGTAAGTGGGCGCAGGGTGCATAGGGCAGCTCCATCCCCCCATCCCCGCCCTTGTCTCACCCCCACCTCATACAACCAAATGGGCAGGGCTTAACTAGGGCTTATATTTGGCACAGGTGTGAAAATCAGGCTAGGGCTTGTTTTTGGGTTATGTTGTATTTTCGGGAAAACACGGTAGCATGGTCATGTGACGTCACACTTTATGACTGCATTGTGTAGCATTGGAAATTCTGGTTCTAGCTACTGTCCTTACCCAAGGACTACCTGTACTTAAATAATTAGAACACAGAGCATGTGCACACACTCCCTCCCTCCCTGCACATGCGTGGTAGAGACCCCCAAGACCAGCTGGCCAGCGGGTGGCATGCACGCATGCAAGGTAAAGCTGAGTTGGGGTGACGGCTCACGTGCCCACAGAGAGGGTGCTGCGTGCCACATCTGGCCTGCGTCCCATAGGTTCTCCATCGCGGGCATAGGACGAGAAGCTACTGAAGGTGTGGCTCTTGCAATTCTTGTTGTTCTGCTGTGAATACGTTGTCTTAGTGATTGTTGTGTTTAATGAGTTGTTGTGAATCACCCTGGGGATATTAAATTGACGAGCCAAATAAAACTATTACCTGGCACAAGGAAGGATTATATTTTTCAGCATTGTTCTGTTTTATGACCGAAGATGCTGCAGAAATGGGTCTTGGGCTGTGAAGTCCAACCTGACCCAGTTTGTATGCTGAATCATGATGTGGTACAGCTGGAAAAAGGCCATTTAGGGCATTGTGTTCAGCTTTGTATTTGGTGTAGGATTTCAAATGGCAGCATCTGCAGTGTCCAGGCTCTGTTTCAACAGACAATAAATGTGGATCGGTTGTTCTCATGGCAGGTTTGTTTCCCCCCCAACATCTAATGAATCTCTTCCTTCTTTGTCTCTGTATCAGGAAAAGTAGCGAATAGATCTTGGCTTTCTTTTCCATGGCAGCCTTTAAGGTGTTTGAGACAACGCCCCCCTCCACTCCCCCGTCTTCTCAAGGTGAAGCCTTTGCAGCCCCTTCAACTTTCCTGGAACATGGTCATCCTTGCAGCCCACCTGTTCCAGCAATAGTGTGCTTATTGTTCTCCTGGGATGCCCACATTTGGAGTCACGGTGTCCCGTAAATGGGTGAATGTTGAGTAGCTGAGCAAATAGACAAATTAGATATTGCAACAGGTGCTTTGAGGCTTATTCTGAATTTTCAATAAACCTTTTGCCCAATTTTGGAATGAGCAAATTTTATATTGGAAGGGTTCATGATTGTAATATGCTGTGTCTCTCTTGCCTTTCAGGGCTTACTCCCTTGTGGACTCTAGTCAAGTATCCACGTTCCTCATTTCCATTCTTCTCATTGTTTACGGCAGCTTCAGGTAAGGTCATTGGCTTTTGTATATTACCACTCCTCCTCTTCCTCTCCCTCCCCAGCATGCCTATAAACTTAGCTGTTCTGCTCACCATGTATACATTAGGTCTACAATTCGGATCTAAGTGGGCCATTCTTTCAAGTAGGAATGTATATTGATACTATTTCCCTGAAATGTAGAATGGCAAAGCAGTCCAGAACTGAAGAGCAGGTCATTTAACATTTTATTTGTTCCTGGAAACTTTCATGGAAGGTTTTTTTTAAAGGTTGTGAAGAAGCAATCACTTTTATTGTGATTTATTTAAAGGTGAAAATAGAAGTGTTTGTCAATTTATTCTTAAGGCTCGTTTTAATCCAACCTGCAATAAAAATTGCAATCTGGTTCTTTTATCTGAAACATGCCAGATAATTCAGGGAAAGAGTGACACATTTCTTGAATTTCTAAAAAAAAAAAAAAAAAAAGCAAAGACCCCAGAGCTGTTACAGAAGCCTGGGAAATCTAAAAATAACACAGTATTGTGCAGTTGCTGCTCTTCTTCAGTGTTGTTTTTGTTAAATTCACAGAGATTAGATACTTTGGGGAAGAATTAAAATGTTTTAAAATTGCTATTCTTCTTGTACTGAAGAGGGAGGATAGGTAGGTGGGTAGGTAGTTAGGGGGATAATTTATTATCTTACCTTATAGATTAGTTTTATGACCTGTTTTTAAAATTAAAATTAAATACAAGTGAGGCTTCCAAAATAAAATAGGTAAAAGCAAATACAATAATAAAATAGTGCTAAATACAATGTATCAACATTCAAGTATAGTATTTTAATTTAATATAATGTAAATGCTGCTCATCTCCCTCTACAAAACGACTCATCACTTTTACATGACACCCCTATCTGTTTTATTTTTATTTTATTTATCAAATTTAGAAGCTGTCCATCTCCCTTACAGAGGACTCCAGGCAGTGTACGAATAAAATATTAAATCCTAAAAAAACAGTATATACTCTGATCTGTTCATTAAAGCAAGTTCTTAGCTGAACTGCCTTGTCTATAAACTTAGCAGTTCAGCTCACAATGTATACATTAGAGCCCAGGAGGAAATAGGGCTATGTACAATTCAGGTCCCACTGGGCTGTTCTTTCAAGTAGGAATTTTAAGTATCTTAAGCCTAAAAGGCATACAGTTGATAATCAAATAAAACACGAACAATATCTATGACGGCAACACAGATACAGATCTTCTCATGATATCACAAGTAATGGAAAGGCACTGGAAAACCCAACAACTGAAATCTTGCCCTAAAAAAGAGTTTTCTTAGCTTTGGGTCAGACGTATTGACTGGTGTTTTTTGGGTTTTTTTTGGTTTGGAAAGTGGTTTTGTTTTTAGCCAACCAATTGAAAGATCATTTTTTCACCAATAACTCTATGTCTGCTTAGAAAATGCTAACTGGGACTCTGTTTAAATATTGTCTTTGTGTGGGAGGCAGTTGAGATGGCACTGGATGGAAAACCCATGATGTAAAGTAACTTTAGTATGTTGACTTACCCAGGGGTTGAGCTGAGTCATACTTACAATGAGGAATGACAGGATTTATATTTTTTGCAGTCATTTACCCAACACGGAGTCATGGGCAAATTGTTTTAAAAAAAGCTCAGTGATATAGGTACCAAAAATTATCTATGGAGATTCTTAGTCATTTAAGTTAGTTCTCCCAAGGGTGCCTTTTCTGTATTGGGTAAAGACTATTCCTAAATAGATGAAAGAATTCTGTTGTCCAAGAGGTTTCTCACCCAGCAGCCAGTTATGTGTCACACTTTTAGTTTTGCTGAGTACCACCACTTTAGATTTTGTTTTAGTGATGTTTAAAGAATTGAGAACACAGTAGGTTTTTAGCTTCTGCAGCATTCTTCTCAGGACTACTTGGGAACGTGCCATCAGAACTGTACCCTCAGCATATAAGAGAATATTAATAAATTTATCATGCATCTTTGACATATTAGTGTCTAGAGCACAGACCAGGAATTCTGGGATGTTGTTGTCATACAGGCTTAAAAGCATTGGGGCTGGAACACTACCCTGCCTAATATCTTCATTAGAGTAAGCATACTCTGAGTTACCATTTACACCAATATACACTGGTTGTTTGAATACAAGATTTTAAATAGGAGTAAGAGTTAACTCCAACTCTTCTGACTTGATTGATCGGTTGATTGATTATGGGTCAGTTCTTAGCAACCACATTCAGAGATTCTGTCTACAACCTGATAGGTCTTCCTATAATGTAGATGTGGTTGCTCTAGCTGAGGCCCTCTGGTTGTCCTCTTCACTATCTTCCTTCCACCTTTCCAAGCATTATAGACTACTCCAGAGGTTTAGGTCTTCACACAATGTGTTCATAAGTGTAAGAATTTGAACTTGGTCATTTGTGCCTCAAGTCAAAACTTTGGATTAATTTGCTCTTCTGCAAAAAAGAAAGAACATTCTCATTTTAGGTCATGTGTTAAAAACAAAAAGAGGAAAAAGAAGGGGAAAACTTTCAGACAGAGAGGAAGAAAAGAAGCCCAAACATGCAGATTAGTAGAAAGCAGCTTTTTACCACCCTCGGAAGTTCTGGGGGGCTGCATCTCCCCACTTCTGCCCTCAGACGAGTAAAGGATGGATGAGGTAAGCAGAGAGTTCCAGATTTGCTTCCTCCTTTTTCTCTGCTGAACTGGTGAGCTTCAGGCATCCCTTCTTAGGAGACCCAGGGAAGGTCAGGCTTCCTATTGAGACGAAGTACATTGTCCCTACCTCCAGGTCAAAAGGAATAGTCGGGTAAAAAGGACAGTTATGGAAGATGGAGACAGCATTCAGGCACGTTACTTCCATAAACTGTTCAACCTGGGTCCTACAACATGGTAATCAAAAACCCAACAAGAACCCAAATATGATTCTGAGAACACTTACTAGTAGCACCAAAAGGAGCAGAGGAAAGTCAACTGCCTTCCCGGTCTTTTCTAAACTGCGTCTAAAATTTCCTGATGATGATTATGATTTTCCAGTAAAATATGGATAGAACCCATATCTGAATTCAACTGAAAGAAATGGAAAAAATGTAAGGGAGAAATACAGGCAATCCTCAACTTATAACCACAACGAAACTACTATCACTAAATAATGCAGTCATTAAATGAGCTATACCCGATTTTATATCAGTTTTGCTGTAATTGTTAAGTGAAATATGCAGTCAATGTCAGATGCAAACAGCCTGAGCCACTTGTAAATAGCTAAAGTGAGCAACTTTATTGTTCCCTACCTAAGTTACAAGAATCTCCCCAGGATGCTTGCCTTCCCTTGGGAACAACCAGATAAAAAGCTTCATTGATTCATTCATTCAATCATTCATTCATTCATTCATTCATTCAATCAATCAATCAATCAATCAATCAATCAATCAATCAATCTGCCCATCTTGCAGTTTGAGGCAACTTTGGGTGGCTAATCCTGGGGGAGGGTAAGTCTTCTGCAGCTGCGAAAGGACTCTAAGCTAAGCCCATGCTTGACTCTCCTCTTCCAGCCTAGCTGGCAGTTTCCTGACAGTCAGTCAGCTAATCTGGCTTTCCTCATTGACTTTGCTTGTCACAAGCTGGCTGGGAAGGTGGCAAATGGGGCTGCCCTTGAAGAGCATCCGGCGACTTCAGCTAGTCCAGAACGCGGCCGCGCGAGCAATTGTGGGCGCGCCTCGGTT